CCCAGGAATTTTTTTTTTTTTTTGAGACAGAGCCTCAAGCTGTCACCCTGGGTAGAGTGCTGTGGCATCACAGCTCACAGCAACCCCCAACTCCTGGGCTCAAGTGAGTCTCCTGCCTCAGCCTCCCAAGTAGCTGGGACCACAGGCGTCCACCACAATGCCCGGCTATTTTTTTTATATACAATTTTATTTTATTTTTAAAATTTCTTTAAATTTGTCTTTTTAATTTTTTTTATTTTTGGCCAGGGCCGGGTTTGAACCTGCCACCTCTGGTATATGGGGCTGGCTCCTTACTCCTTGAGCTGCAGGTGCCACCCCCGGCTATTTTTTGGTTGCAGCCCTCAGTGTTGTTTGGTGGGCCCAGGCTAGATTCAAACCTGCCACCTTAGGTGTATGTGGCTAATGCCTTAGCCACTTGAGCCACAGACGCTGAGCCCTGAGCCCAGGAATTTGAGGGTGCTATGAGCTATGATGCAATGGCACTCTACCCAGGACACCAGAGTGAGACTCTGTCTCTAAAACAAACAAACAAACAAAAAAAGAAAAAATTTAAGAAAATTCTTTCTGAAGCTCTGACATGTCATTTCAAATCTGACCCTTGTCTTCAAATTCTTTTTTTTGCAGTTTTTGGCCAGGGCTGGGTTTGAACCTGTCACCTCTGGCATATGGAGCCAGTGCCCTACTCCTTTGAGCCACAGGTGCCACCCTGTCTTCAAATTCTTTATCCACAACTTCCTGTGGAAGCCCCCTCCCACCTCTTTAACCTTGTATGAAGGGTGTGAAATGAATATATCATCCTCTTCTATGCCTATTCCCTTGCCCCCAATCTGGGAACTCTGTGACTTCCATTTTAAGTTCGCTCTGTGATTATCCAGAGTTATCCAGTCATGTCCATTCATTCTAGAACCAATCAGTCAATAAATGCTGCCAATTCCTCCAGCACACTTCCTTTACTTCTGACATCATATATATATACGTATATATATGTATATATATATATATATTTTAATCAATTTAGCTCTTCTCACTCCATATGTTGACATTACTCTATATTGTCAGGGCATTGCCTTTCTTTTTTTAATCCAATCTGTCCAACAAATTGAAAATCTAGTTTAAAAAATTGTCTCTCGGCTCGGCGCCTATAGCTCAACCGGTTCAGGCGCCAGCCACGTACACCTAAGGTGGCGGGTTCGAATCCCCAGCCCGGACCCGCCAAACAACAATGACGGCTGCAACCAAAAAATAGCCGGGCGTTGTGGCAGGCGCCTGTGGTCCCAGCTACTTGGGAGGCAGAGGCAGGATACTCGCTTGAGCCCAGGAGTTGGAGGTTGCTGTGAGCTGTAATGCCATGGCACTCTGCCCAGGGGGACAGCTTGAGGCTCTGTCTCAAAAAAAAAAAAATTGTCTCTCCCAGTTATCACAAATAAGCTTCTAAATGCTGGTTTTTCTACAGTTCTTTTTAAAAACGCCAACTCTTTCCTTGAGTATCCCCGCCAGCAAACCGTTGGTTCTAGCTAATGTTATCTATACACTTGCTCTCCTATAATCACCATCTGCTTAACTGTCAAGATCATGCATACTCTCTGCAAATATTCTCACATTCTGATTTTGTAATAGTTAGGACAAGCTAAACATTTTGCTATATAAAAATCATACACATGTCCACAGACCTAATAGTTCTTTCCCCAGGTTTGGTTTTATAAATGCTGGTGATAACCCAGGTCTGATTTATTATATGATAATTTTGTTCATTTTGTATGATTGTATAATGCCTGTGATTCTAGGTTATCCTGGGTCAATCCTAAGAAAAATGACAGTATAGCTAATATAATAATCTTTGCCAATAATTAATGCTAATTTATAGACTTTTGTCTGAAGGCATATCTAAAGTAAAGAAATTTTGTAATCTCAAGTTGTGATTAGATGAATTATAAAATTATTGTATTATTATTATGTTTTTTTTTTTGGAGACAGAGCCTCAAGCTGTCGCCTTGGGTAGAGTGCCGTGGCATCACAGCTCACAGCAACCTCCAACTCCTGGGCTCAAGCGAGTCTCCTGCCTCTGCCTCCCAAGTAGCCAGGACCACAGGTGCCTGCCACAACGCTGGGCTATTTTTTGGTTGTAGCCGGCATTGTTGTTTGGCAGGCCCGGGCTGGATTCAAACCCACCAACTCAGGTGGATGTGGCTGGCGCCTTAGCTGCTTGAGCCACAGGTGCTGAGCCAAATTATTGTATTTTTTTAAAAAAGTAATAGTACCATCAAAGTTAAACTAACATGAAAATCTAAAAGGAAAAGATTATGCATAATTTGGACATCCTCTTTCTCAGCCCTTCCCTTGCCTCAAATCCAACATCCTGTCATTTATAGCCCTCACCTGAAATCCAGACCTTTTGCCCAATGTCATGACAGATGTTTTCTGCCTTCTCACAGGCCTGGTTCTCCACTTGTTCTTATAGAAGTCCTCTTTCCTTCCTCATGGCTACTCGCAGGGCACAGTGTCATGCAGATATTCCCCTAACTGCTGAAGTGTGGAGAACGTGGCCAGCCAGGACAGCCCAGTGCTATCGACAGTGGAGAAAGTGTGAGCAGAGCAGGACTGGGAATGCCACATGTCTTGGTAGTAGAAGCCAGAGGGCTTTGAGGCCGGGAGCCCAGGGTAGCATAGTTGTTTAGGGGATGGAACTGCAAGCAAAACAATTTTGAGTACAGAAGAGTGTAAAGCCATAGGCACGGAATGAATGCTGCCTTTTTCTGCGAACCGCAGTCCCACTTAACTGAAACTCTTGTTTTTTCCCTCAGCCACCTGGATTGGAGAAATTCCCCAAGGGAAGACCTTGTCTGTTACATTCCTAAAAGGAAACAATTGGTAAGAAGAGAGCCATTTATTGAAGTGTGTGAGGAAAGGAATCTTGGGCTAAGGCAAAATGGGGGTAATTGGGGGAAAGGAGGTACTCAAAGTCAAGGACTTCTGTTCCATCAGGCTCTTGGAAGACAGTGAGGGGCTGGGAGAAGGAGAGGAGCGGACAGCTAGAGTTCAGGGATACCAGGTTCTTTGAATTTCCTTGCCTCAGGGAAGGCATCAATGAAGAAAGAAAAATTGTCTTAAAATGTATCCAGGATTTTGGGTTTGTTTTTTTTTAAGAGACAGAGTCTCACTTTATCGCCCTCAGTAGAGTGCTATGGCGTCACAGCTCATAGCAACCTCCAACTCCTGGGCTTTGGTGATTCTCTTGCCTCCAGCCTCCCAAGTATCTGGGACTACAGGCGCCTGCCATAACACCCAGCTACAGGATTTTGGTTTTATTAAGGTATGGGGAGTTTCATTGAAAGGACAGTTTGTTATGCACAGTTCCCAAGAAGTGGAAGTATAGCAAGCCACACAGGCCCACAGAGGGAAGCCCCCATCAGTCTAGAGGAGAGGGAGCAAGGACACAGCATGGGCAAAGCTCTTGTTTTCACAGAAAGGATCTGGCCAGGCAGGGTAAGCAGCTAAACTGGTTTAAGATTGGCTAGTTTGGCCCAGTGCAGTGGCTTCACACCTAAAATCCTAGCACCCTGGAAGGCAGAGGCAGGAAGACACTTGTGCTCAGAAGTTCAAGACCAGCCTGAGTAAGTGTGAGACTCCCCTCCCCTGCCACATCCTTACTAAAAATAGAAATAAATTAGCTGGGTGGCAGGCACCTGTAATCCCAGGTACTTGGGAGTCTATGGCAGGAGAATTGCTTGAACCCAGGAGTCTGAGGTTGGTGTGAACTAGGCTGATGCCATAAAACTCTATCCTAGGCAACAGAGTGAGACTCTCAAAAAAAGATTGGCTAGTTTGAATAATTTTTTTTTTTTTTTTTTTTTTTT